GCCCGCCCCTGCGCCCGCTCCCTGCACCAGCTCCCTGCACCCAGCTCCGAGATCTTCGAACCCCCCTCCCCACTCTCTCCTGCAACTACTTACCTATCCTCGCGACAAAGATCCTGCGGCCGAGCGGGTCCCGCTCGTTGAGCTCGAAGCCCAGCTCGTTGCTCTTGAAGATGGGCAGGTAGTCGTGGGGGTTGTTGAGCAGGAACACGTCCGGGAAGTCGCGCCGAGCGGCGAAGTACTCTTGGAGCTGTCACGAATAGTTTATAAATATCGACTCGTTTGCGAGATTTTATTGCGGTCCTTTCCTCGACTCACCAGGTGGTACGACTTCTTGACGTCCAGGTCCGCGGCCCAGAGGAACCTGAGGAGGAACTCCTCCGTCACGGGGCAGACGAGGTCGGCGTCGGCTGGCGGGTTTCAGATCATTCTCACATTAAAAATTCCGCGGGGGAAGGCGAAGCAGAAACCATTGGAGCGGTACTCGGCCTACCTTCCACCAGCTTCCTCAAACCCTCCACCAGAACGGGGCTCGCTTCACGACCGCCGTCCTCCAGCACCGCGACGTCCGAGGTGGTCACAACCATCCTGACTAGAAGTAGAGCGAATCTCTCGCGCAGCCGTCAGTGCTCTTTTGCGCGGCGCGATGCCGGATCTGTGTCCGATCTGGTTCTGGTTGCGGGTGCGAGCTAGAGAGCTGGCGGCACGTCTCACCTCCTCGGGATCCGCGCGACTAAACCAAGCGGAGCCGCTGGGATCGCTCGATCTGGTCTGCGGCTGCCGAGTGTGTTGTCACTTCCGAACATTATTGATACCCCCTCCTACTTATTGGACCATCTCGCCCGTCGCAACCCAGCATATCATCCCCGCGGCCGACGGCGCCGACACTAATTTTAGCATTTTCATCCTCTACTTCCGATGATGATAGTAGCATGCCGTGCAATGTTGAGTAAAAGTCTTCAACACAAGCGGAGTCGAGAAAGTTTCATCTTTTAACGGAGCACACATTCTACAGTTTTCAAAACTTCCCGCCCTCGATGCAGCCTTAGCAGGGCTGCCGTTTGCACGGCATCAACAACTTCTATGACTCCGCGGCGTTTGCTTCTAGGCGCATCGCGAAGAAGCACTAGGACGATGAACGGGCTGCGTGTGTCTACTCTTTAAATCGATAGCCGTACGACCTTCGCAAACGGTGAATTTACGAATGCCACGGCTGGTGGCCAAACTGCTTCCCCCTCTCTCCCTTCATGTTGACGGCACCTTAACCTTCCATAAGCTCGTGTTTATTGTTTACTTTCAGGAGTTGATTCTGCTCCTTATTGTCGTTGATATAGTGTCAGAAATGAGTGGCATTCGGGTATGGCTGGACATGTCGGCCCTGTTTTCCGACGTGCGCCAACAGAGTTGTGTCTCCGTGCATCACGACAAAATGCCGACCGTAAAAGACGTCCAGGACCACATTCGCCGGGTGTTTGGTATTGACAAGACTTTCCATATTCTCAATGACGGCTTTCTCCTACCGCCCTCGGAGAGTTCTTTAATTTTGCGTGATAACGACTGCATCAGGTAAGGGTTCTAGCACAGCAGTACTCATTTTGTATGCCCAGTTAAATGATGGTAATTCATCACTCTCTCTTGTCGCAGCATTACGACATCTGACCAGAAATCTACTGAGATGAAGCAAGAGAGCAGACCTAAACAATCTGAAGAAAGAACGCCGGGGAAAATTACCATTCCAGATGCTTTTGCTGTTGCTGGTACACTGACCGATGAACCTGCACAGTCCAACGGCATTGTCAAACCAACTTCATTTGAAAACATGACCATTAGTTTTTGTCATAGCCGTCAGGTATCTGTGCAGCCAGCGCCATCCGAGCAGTCATTTCCAAATAAAGCAGCACCAGCTTTGCAGACTTTTCCAAATACGCCAGCACCACCTCTGCAGACATCTCTAAAGGCACCAGCACCACCCCCACAGACATCAAATGGACACTCAGTTAATGAAACACCTAGTCAAGACCTAGATTCAAACAGTGAAACAGATTCTGGTCGAAAACGTAAAAGAATTCGCAGGAGGAAAAAGAAGCCGTCTCAAGATGGTGAACCAAAAGCTAAAGAGGTTCGGCTAAGCCCTTACATTCTGAACAAATATAATCAAGGTGTGAGCCATGTACTCAACTCATCTCTGGCTAAGCCAAGTAATAAAAAGCATATTTTCTTTCAAGATGAACATGGTAATTTGAGAGCAACAACACTTTTCATCTGTAGAACTCATTTATATAGTACCATTTTAAATTCCTCTTATTGTTTCAGAGAAAGAGATGGATACCAATGTAGAATTGTCTGGCAATGAAAATTTAGTTCCAGCCCCAACACTTGGGTCATCTACTGTAGGAGATCTCTCCAAACTAATGTCGCTTGGAAATCAAAAAGGGCCTGCAGTGTTTGAAAGGAAGAAAGATCAAGCAACATCTGAATCCAAAGCAGAAACACTTAAGCCAGTCTTGCCAGTGCCAGAAAAGCCTGCTGTACCTACTGCCCCAAAGCTTGTTACATTGGACTCCTTACCTGTCAAAGAAACAACAATTAAATTTAAGGTAAAAACTTTGCCATTGATTCTCCCCCCTCCCCCCCCCTTCTCTTTTAATTTCTTTGGTTAATATTTGGCATATATTTTTCCACACAGATTTTAAAGATGGTGAATTATTCACCAGTAGTATCTGAGGAAATTACAGCAAGAGTAATTTCACCTGATTTCACATCAAATCAGCTATTTCTACAAATTCTAGGTATTGTCTTTTCCTCTGTAGACCTAAAATAGGTTTCTTTACTTTACTAATTCACACGACTTTTCACATTACAGAGGGATTAAGTGAATTGCAGACAGAGAGGGGCAAGTTCAGCTTAGATGACGGCGAAGGAGAAGAAGGGGATTCCGCCCCAAGTGAATATGTGTATCTTAATTTTCTAGACATGATTGAAGCAAGAGCGGTCCAGTATCATTAATATTAATTCTATCCCCCTCAAGGGAGTAAAACTTTCATTTCAACTTGTTTGTTTATTTTTATTTTTTTGTCCTCTTTCTGTACTTGCTTTGTCATCAATAGTCAATAAATATATAAAATTAAGTCACAAATTTTTGGGTGTACTAACTAAACAGCACATAATCTTCACCCTCTGATAAGTTTAATGAGGCAAGGTTTTTCTCAAAGTTTCCATCCGTCAAATCCTGGAAAGAAACATCATCATGGTTTTCATTATGGTAGACATTTCTTTAATAACAATTATACTAGAGTTAATAGATGAAAAGGTAATCTGAAACTATCAATTGCTTACAAGTTTTATACAAATAATAAAAGGGGGTGATGCTTGTTGAAATCCAACTATGGGAATTGGTCTAGTGTTTTTATTTCTCTCTGGGTCATCTGGAAAATATGGCTGGTAGCTTTGGCCTATTTTCTTTTTATCAATGTCACACATGGCCCATACTTTTTCTTGAAGACTTTGTGGAAGGGATCTGTAAAATCTTCGACCCTGCTTTCCAGCATTCCATATGGTGAAATTGGACCACTTCTGAAGTTCCTTGTTGATCAACCGCTGTATTCGAATGTTCCAAATTGTATCCCTGAGACAAAAAGTTGACATTAAAAATTCTGTTGTTAATGTAAGTGAAATACAAGGACACTTCATTAAATGCTCTCACTCAAGTATTGAAAATGTGGTGGCATTTTCATGGTAGCGATAAATCAGTAATACTTCATCTATTCGTCGCACTGTTCCTCCTTCATCCAGATGTTTGTAAAAAAATATTAAGTCTTCTGGAGTTCCTTTACCAGCTTCAGAAAATTTGCCAGCCCTATGGAAACATTAGAGAAGAGGGTTGTCTAAAAATGCATTCCGTGGTGAGGACAACATTTATACATCAAACAATGTACCGATTAAACACCTCTCTGCTGCAAAACCAAGTTGGCATTATTACTGTCGGTCCATGTGATGTGTAAACTTGAAGCGAGAGTTTTTGTTGGTCAAGTTCATTAGCCCACCGGGCAAATCGATGCGTAGATTGTGGAGGATCCCTTAAAAACTTTGATCCTACAATCTGTAAAAGTAAATTGAGGTTCGTATATGGTAAAACACATTTACGGCATGAAGTAGTTTACTCACAGCCAGAGGATACTTCCTCGCTTCTTCTAACTGAAGAGAGAGGCGGCAGGGAAGCATTTCATCATCCTAAGGAAGAAGCTGAATGAACCTGTGTTTTCATGGAAGATTCAAAACAAGTTGCCCTAACTCCTTACCACATCCTGAAAGCATAAGAATTTTCCGCAAGACTGCTCGACTGCTCGATTTTTAGCAAAACCAACTGAATGATGCAGAGACAAAACAGTTAGAGATTGCATTTGATGCAGAAATTATTTCAAAATTTATCATAAACAAGACAGACCTCCTTTGGGTTGTCCTTGTCCATGTGACACAGTGATTAGTAGATTTGAGCCTTTTAATTTAGACTGCCACTTTTCAATAATGTCTTGAGTATTATCAGTACTGCTATCATTGTATATTGACACTTCAATTTCCATTGTTTTTAAAATGTCTTGGGAGGTAATGCCATTGAAACATGATTCAAGCCAAAGGGAACCGTTATGAACTGGAATTATTACTGACTAGAAAGAACAAGGGAAACTATGAACACAAAATAAATTTTGTGATAAGTAGGAAACTCGTTCTTTAACCAAACCAGGGTAGTTCTTCAAAATCAGTTCGTGCTTTTATCTCAGAGTAATGGGGGAGAAGAAGGGAGAAGTGTGTGACGATAAAAGGTACATTTTAAACGCCCGCGCGCTCACTGTGAAGTAGTTACTATGTCCGTCCACAGGTGGCAGCACGGATGGCGCCGCCATAACCTCACGTACTCCTCTACCGTCCCGGGACTTGCAATTTTTAAGGAGGAATCTATTAAGTAAACTCGTTAAAATGCTTCGGTAGCGACTTAAAACATATTAATAAAACAGTTTCATTAACATCTCAGAAGTTCAAAGATGCATGCATGATACATTTTCGTTGCTTAACACTACGTTTTTCAACATGCTCAAATAAGCTCTGGTCTGGGACTTAGAATGAAAACACGCAAAATTTGTTAAGAGTGCTCAAAATTATGCTATTAAACCTGAAAAAAGGTTCGTTGCTTTAATTGAGACCAGCGTCCCCGCTCTACAGTGGTACTATTGTCATGTCTGTAGGTGTTGTGTGTTCTGAGATGAAAACAGGAACAGAAAAAGCGTGACACCGCACTGAGAACAATACTCGTTCTTCCTACCACCACGAAGGTGAAGTGGGATGGTAAAGAACGAGTAAAAAGCAATAAAAAAAATATGCCGCAAGGAAGCGTGTCAAAGTAAAGCATTTTAGTGTAGTTACCACTTCAGGTGGTTTTGTGTTCACCGACATCTTGATACATTCAAACAATGCATATGTTTCTCCTTTCTTTAGACAAATGCAGACAAATGTGTACAAAAACAAATAAGCGCGATTTCGCATACACAGTACGAAGACGTTTACATCTTTCCCATTGTTGTTGTTGTTATTGTTCTTGAACAGCTGATTAGATTCGTCGGGCACATTACATAACGCGTTTCGGCGGTTTCGGCACTGGCTTTCTTCCTTAATGATGTCATTTAGTTTATCTTTATCTTAAGGTGAAAGAACCTGAAGAACTTCTCATCTTAAACTTCTTTTCCTGTAAGTACTCTTAAGGAGACCTTGACATTGATTCGAGGTTATGTTTATTCATAGAAGAAAAACATTGCCATTTCCACCTGTTTACCAAAATAACATGTTCTCAATATTATTCGAAGGTATTTTACTAGTACAATTGTTTCTGATTTAACTTTTCTCTATTTTTTTCTAGTTCTCCTAAAATGTCAGCGTGCCTATTGAAGCTTAGGTATTACTCCTCCAACGTCATGTACATATACCTACAAAAATAAAAATAAAACCCTTTGTTTATTTTGTTGTTGTTTTAGTTCAAAGTTTTTCTGTTTAAAATATTTGCAGCGCTTGCCCTGTCAAAAACTCAGCTGTAATAGCAGGCTCTATTCGTTTATTGTCTTCTGTGGAAGTTTCAACTGCTTTGCGTCCATTCTATTTTTCTGTGCATCCAGATTTGTTTGGGAAGCATCCTAATGAAAGGGTAAATAAAGTTGCCTAATAATTGTAGTATATATTTTCTGCATTGCTTTGCTTTTATTTTATTTTTCTGTTGATAGTCTATAAATGAAAACTCTTTAATGCAATTAAGTTCATACTTGGAAACTCTTCAAAGAAGCAGATCAGTTCGACCAGTTTCCTTAAAATTTTATTTACGGCCTCGAGAGACATCATTTAAAGGTGATGTTTTCTTTGATTAACATTAATAAACTTTACCTCAATTATTTTTTGATTTTCTATTTTGTACCTATTGGTTTTTAGGATCTTTTCAATTAGTGACACTGAATCTCAATGAGCGTGACACAAGAAATGCAGTTTTAAGAGTTTTAAAATCATGTAATCTCCCTACTACTTATGTTGATAACATAAGTCCTGCTCCAACATCCAAAACACAGGATTATTACCCTACTCCTGATCAAAAATCAACTGCATGGCAAAAATATGAAAGTATGTTCAAAGACAATGATGATGCTTATGGAGCACATATAATAAGAGGCATGGTGAAAAAGGCCAAGGAAGATGAGTCATTGTTGTATGTTCTGTCCAGTTTCTTTATTTTGTGATATAGGGACAAGAAATGGCCCATTGGTAATTTAATTTTTCAATTATCAGATCTTGGCTGAAAAATAATATTGACAATGCTGCTGAGAAGCAAGCAGCTTGTTTGCCCATACAAGAGGAAGTAAAGCGATTGCAGGTTGAGCTTGCACAAAATCTAGGTTTGCAGGAGATTATTTGGGATTGTGGATGGAACGTAACTCATTTTAGAGGGTGCTTACAAAGTTTTCAAGCTCTTGCCCGTGACCATTCTGAGCTTCTGCATGTACTCAAAGGTATTCCTTAAATGATTATTGCTTTGATTGTTGCTAGCTATGAGTTATTAGGTAAGCACATGGGTTATTACAGGAAGAACTGTGGTGTTTGGAAGCGACACTGGTGTTAGTTTGAATGGCAATGTACTTCTCAGTAGTGGGGAGGTGCGTCACAATTGGCTTGATGTAAGTATTTAGATATTTTTAAGTGAAAGTAACTACAACCATGTCTTCTCATCAGTGACTCCTTTTTTTTGTGCGACTAGTTTTTAAAACATGTGTGGCAACAGGATGCTGCACTTTTAGCCATACCTGCCATGCAAAAGGCAGTTTCCAGGGTTCTTCGAGATATTAAAGTTGTTCACAGGTTAGTGTGCAATCGTCAAGCTTTTTCTGCATGAATTACTTTTATATAGTATATAATTTATTTCTTCCACAAAGGAAATTCCAACCCAATATTATGGCTAAGTCATACACTAGTCAATTGAGAAGACTCGTAACATCACTAAGTGATTATCAGGGTCGCCAAGGGTATCCCAAGTCATGGCCTCAGAGCTTGGAAAAATTTGAGCTAGTTGTGGAACCGTATGTATCAGTTTGCTAGAAAGACAAATGTGAATAATTGTGTAGTATACCTTAATCTTTTCCCCTATTAATGTCCAGGGAAGCTGGTCCTCTCATGTTATCACCCACTGGGCAGTTCATTGTCCCATCTTCCTGTCCAGCTTCACTTCTGGTCAGTTTCTTGAGTGAACACATACCCGAGGCTGAGAGACTATTAAGTAGTTATCAAATGTAAGTAGTAGGACTTTCAGAAAATTATGCACCTAAAAATGCTTTTGTTGTTTTAAAATACATACTTTTTCTCCAGGAATAAACATGTCGAGCGTGATCTGCATGCTCGTTGTATAGCTGAATTTGGACTCTTATCTTTACGAAAAGAAGATAATGTTACACCTGATCTAATGATAGCTTGCTGTTCAAAATTACTAGAAAGGAAAGCTGATTTGTTAGAAGTTTTAAAAGGTCGTTGTTTGTGGATAACAAATTATTACTCTATCATGTCTGATGGACACATTTGTATTCCTTGGAATTGGAAAATTTAAAGAATACAAAATTGATAATGTTGTCTTTTATTCTTCAAAGTGCAAAACCAGTTTGGTAGTAAAAAGTAACAGAAGTAAAACTAAAAAAGATTGTATCACAACAAATATTCACAGGGTGATGTCTGGTTAAAATTAATTTCACATGGTATGTTGACAAATTGATGTTTGAATGGCAATGTTGAAAAATGCAGAAGTGTATTTTGACAGTATTTAATACCTGTAGTGATCAGGCTTGTAGGGTCCCTCAGCAGGAATGCCCAAGTAAGCAGCTTGGTCAGCTGTAAGCTTGGTCAGCTTAACTCCCAAGTGGTCTAAGTGAAGGGCAGCGACTTGCTCATCAAGCTGAGAAAGAAAGGATAAAAATTACATCATCAATTTAACTGTAAGTGATACAAAAGTCTACTAGAACAATACTTACTTTCTTTGGTAGCATGTGAACACCAACACTATACTGTCCAGGTTTGGTCCACAATTCAATCTGGGCTAAGGTTTGATTGGTGAAGGAATTGCTCATCACAAATGAAGGATGACCCATGGCACATCCAAGATTAACTAAACGACCTTCTGCCAGAAGTATGATGTGGTGTCCATTGGCCAACTTGTAGCGATCCACCTAGGAAGTTCCAGATTAGGTCACTTGCTGCTCAGGCTACCAAGTTCATTTTGTATATATGGTTTGAGTGGTAAATACCTGAGGTTTAATGTTGATCTTCTCAACGGCATTTTTCTCCAACCAGGTAACTTCAATTTCACAATCGAAATGGCCAATGTTGCAAATGATGGAATCATTTCTCATACTTAGGAAATGTTTTCCAGTGATGATATCTTTGCATCCAGTAGTTGTGACAAAAATTTGACCCTCTTTGGAAGCTTCATCCATTGTCACCACCTTTTCAGATCAGAGAATACAAGTTACACTGAAGAACAAGCATTTACACTTAGGTAATATAAAATCTGTGAAAACATACCTCATATCCCTCCATAGATGCTTGCAAGGCATTGATTGGATCAATTTCTGTGATAATGACCCGACCACCAAAGGCTCTCAAGGACTGAGCACAACCTTTACCAACGTCACCATATCCAGCAACAACACAGACCTTGCCAGCTAACATAACATCAGTAGCTCTTTTAATACCATCAATAAGAGACTCTCGGCAACCATACAAATTGTCAAATTTACTCTGTGGACCAAATTTAAAAGTAGTAATAAAAAATATTTTAAATTCAAAGGCATAAAGTTCGAGACATTGCAGTACCTTAGTCACAGAGTCATTGACATTAATACATGGAACCTTCAATTTGCCAGCGGTCATCATTTTATACAAATTATGGACTCCTGTGGTAGTTTCCTCTGAAATTCCTTTAATGTTAGCAAGGTACTGAGGGTATTTCTCATGTACCAAGTTAGTCAAATCTCCACCATCATCCAGGATCATGTTGAGTGGCTAAAAAAAATACATTTATTTACAGACAGCAAATGGCTTTCAAGTACTCTTAATTTAAAATACGTACCTGCCCATCTTTGAACACTAAAGTCTGTTCTATGCACCAAATATATTCATCGTCTGTTTCTCCTTTCCATGCATAGACAGGGACGCCTGTCTTAGCAATGGCGGCAGCAGCATGGTCTTGAGTACTAAAAATATTGCAGCTAGACCACTGAACCTGAAACACAAAACAGATGTATCATCACATCAGCATATGAAACTTTCATGAGTTGCATAAACAGAGATGAGATCACTGGTCTCTTTCCTAAAGTGAGCCTGCCAGGAGACAGTCACCAAATGTAGATAAGAGAACAAAGGAATGGCTTTCAGTTCCCAAGGTCACATCTTTATCAATGAACTCAAAATAAAACCAATTTGAAGACCATTCAAAACAGATAATAGGTAGATAATGGTTTCAAATCCTTACCTCGGCACCTAGAGCAACAAGTGTCTCAATGAGGACTGCAGTTTGTACAGTCATGTGCAGGCATCCAGCAATACGGGCTCCCTTGAGGGGTAGAGACTCCTTGTACTTGCGCCTCAAAGACATCAATCCCGGCATTTCATTCTCAGCCAGCATAATTTCTTTCCGGCCCCAATCAGCCAGGCTGATGTCAGCTGTGCAGACAATGAGACATGTAACAAGCTGAGCGACAGGCACAATTTGAAAAATCAATGGAAAGTGGATTGATCCTTGTAATCATTCAAACGGTACGTTATAGAGATCATAATCCAAAAGCAGACACTGGGTAATCATAATTGTTAACCACACAATATGAACTTAAAGGGGCGCTGTAACTACGTTTAGATTATACGCCGATTAATTTGTACACACGATTTGTGCGAAGACAGGTTGGCTTAAAAGCGTTCGTGAAAATTGGAAGTTATAAGGATGAAAATATAGGTTACATTACCATGTGATTTGGGAACACCGGACTCCCAACTTAGATAAGTTAATCCCAAAATGAAATCTATAGGATGACTATCTTACCGACTTTAAAAGCTGGTTTGCCTGACATGGTGGTTGATGGATGTCGAGCTGACTTGCAATCAAAATACGACAGCGATAAACACACACGCAAGAGCAACGTGCGTCTTCACCACCGGTCGACAGAAGAAGAGATTGCGAGGGGACCGGGGATCTTTTTTAAGCTTTTACACGATTTCTGACTCTCTTCTCTGATTGGTGTTTGCCTTCTCCCGCCTTACCATTTGCCCAATCAGCGCAGAGCTGCATATTTTAAGGCAGAGTCTGAGGACTGTAGCGAATCACTCATCACATTATTTTGTTTCTAACAGCGTACACGTTTTACTTGACCCCTTATTGATTTTTACCCACACTAATTTTTTTCAATGCAAGATTTACGTCTACGGTGAAGCACTCGGCCACTACTCCGTTTCGGCTCTTTAAATTTCCCACCGTAACTTTGCAGGCTGGCCACACTTCTACCTTCACGAACTCACGGACATTATTGATGATGTACACACGTTTCGTTATGATCAGAATGCGTTTCGGTGATTTAAAAGGAATGCGTCGTGAGAGAGACTCTCAAACAGTATCGCTGTTCCTATTGAAGAAGCTTGTTCTTAAAAGTTTTTCTCGTGTAGGGGTTACCCAGCTCTTTCCTTTCTTACCCTCTCACCCTTTTCTCCCCCACCCCTACCCCACCTTCACCTTTTCAGTCTGCAAGAAGGGGGTGGTAGGTGTTGTTGAATGGAACGAATGTTGACCTGTGTTCTTTCTCTCCGAAGTCAGCAACTTTTGTATTCCGAGCGTCGCCCTCTTCTTGAGTTTTCTTGCATGCTCAGGAATTTTGCTGCAGTACATTAGACGCCCTCCTTGATAACGGCGCATGTGTTATAAAGGTAACGTGTAGAAAACTTGGAAATGCTTAACCTCCCTCATTCACGATAATATTCATTTAATGTGTCATCCTCTACCCAAAGACGGTGTGACTTTGCAAGTTTGAAATTTCCGCTCGGTTTATTCATGTTGTCTGTATTCAAGAAATTTCTCGGATTAGTCTTCTAATCTGGTTTCATCTCTTTGATGTCAGAGATAAATTTATCTGCTGTGTGTGTAATATTGAAAGGGCAAGAAACTTCTCTGTGCATAGTTCTCTTGTCATCTTTGGAAGGAATAATTTTCTCTTTGCATATCTGGGATCTACTAGAGACTACTGCTTTATCTCAGTTGTAATTTAAATGTTATAGCCATCTTCATGTGCTTTCAGTGATTGTTGGGATTCCAGTTGTCATTACATTTTTGCCTTGGTCATATGTGTGTGTTTATTTTTAAATAGCTGATTTAAACGTTGGGAAATTCATTTTCCAGCCATTGTTAATATAAAATTCTCTTGTCCCCATTTACAGGACTTACTATCAAAAAATGTCGTCAGAGCCTGTCATTCTCAATGTCTACGACATGGTAAATTGCTGTTGTACCTTACACTCCTCTATGGGTTTTTCATTTACTTCCTAATAATTTTTTAATTTCAGTACTGGACCAATGAATACACAACCCCTATTGGATTAGGTGTCTTTCATTCTGGTATTCAAATATATGGCATGGGTAAGTCTGTAACTTACAAAATCTTCAGGAAGTCTATTGTTCTCTTTGAATTGACTTCTCTGCAGTTTTTGTGTCCGAGTGAAGCACCATACATTCACATTCAGTTGGATTGCTTACAAACTTTCTGTGCTATTTTCAGAGTATGCATATGGAGGCCATCCCTATGCTTTTTCGGGAGTTTTTGCAATTGCACCTCGGGATGCTGAGGAACTAGGGGAACAGTTTCAGTTCAGGTATAAACTACAAAATACCTATTGTTACACGGATACACGGATAAAGCATCATCATGACTCACTATCAAGCTAAATAAATAAGTTGTGAGATTTGTGAATCTTGCTATTCTTATCTCTCTCTGTAATTGCAGGCAATCAGTTCATGTTGGATACACAGATTTCACTGAAAAAGAAGTAAAAAAAATTATCCAAGAACTTGGTAAAGATTTTCGCGGTGACCGTTATCACCTAATGAACAAAAACTGCAATCATTTTTCAGGAGCACTTAGTCAGGTAACTTTTCCATTACTAACTATGTAATAAACTACATTATTTTCATTTGGTGCATCTGCTCTGAGTGACATTTTTTTGTTCTGCATTTCTAGATACTTTGCGGTCGTGAGATACCCTCATGGGTTAATAGGTTGGCATATTTTAGTTCTTGTGTTCCATTCCTTCAACGCTGTTTGCCGAGAGAATGGCTGACTCCAGCTGCATTCCAATCTTTTAGCACACCCAGTGCTCTTCAACACACTCTCAGTACACAACATGACAATGGCTCTGACGGTCCCTCATCATAACATGAGGCTGCTGGAACGGAACATGAGTTAAATCTGCCTTATGATGATGATACTCAATCCGTTTCCCAGCTTCCGTTATTGTACACACATGACCCGCCACCATGCTTGTGGCTGAGCAGCCCCAAAGAAACTGTGCCGTCCAGTACTCATGTCACTGACGACAATTAGGTTTTACTCTTGCCATATGTGGTTTACATGTCTATGTAAATGGGGTGTGTGTACCTAATATTTTCTGTGTTATTGCAAAGACATTATAATAAGTGTGCATGAGAGAGTGCTTCCCATGAAAAAAAAAGGAAAGCTCTTCAAAAATTTGAATTTTTCAATCAAAACTTTTCTGCTAAACATCAGCTTTAAATAGATTTTTGTAAAGTCTGTTGTCTCATTTTTATTCTATCATCCTGTTTCTGTTTCATATTTTAATAAAAGCCTGAGTGGAATATCAGAGCCAGAAATTTTGTATCTTAACATGCATTCTGTACAGTGTACCTATTTCTTTTTATACAGTGTGGAAGTACTATACTAACCATTATACGGTATTTATTACCCATCAGGACAGGTATTCTGACAAAAGTAATTTCTTGTTATCTTGTTGTAAGCATTCATGCACCTTGGTGCATTTAATTTTAAGGAACAGATCCCTTTTTTTTAATACAGTCTATCATTTTTTGTTTGCAATAATGTCATTGGGTTTATAAAATTCCCTTTCAAAGGTTCATTTGTATCCTCCATGTATTTCAACATTCCCAGACCTAGTTTTCTAGTCTCAAGCCTTGTAATGTTTTCCATCTACTCTGAAAACGTCTGCCACAATAACTTTATCTAAATTGACCCACTAAAGCAGATGGCAAAAGAAGTTATTTTTTTTCTTCTGTTAGTCATGTCATGTGTTAGTACAGTGCAAAGTTTTCATTTTGCCATGAACATGTGACCAACCATAATGGTTAACAGCTTTAGTTGAATAGCTATATGAAGGTCATATGATTTGAACTGGGTATGGAAGTGTACTTGTCAAATCATTTAGGGTCAACAATCAAACTGAGCTTGTCTAGAGTTAGTAAACTTTGATGCGTGTCTAAAATCACACAATTGCCATGGTAGCTGTAGGTGCTCGTATCTGTCAAATACCATAATTTGTATTTAGCTGATCAATTTTGATAATAGTGGAAGCCATTAATATGTATTTGTATAATCTTGCATACTACAAGAACTGATATTTTGTTTGTTGTTTTTTTTTTATATTTTACCATTGGCATGGTTTTATTTTATGGTGATAATTCTTAATGACTTTACAGTTATTAGTATTTTAAACACAGTTTGGTGATTTGTTATGGTGCTTGCAATTGCTTTTTGTTATTTTGTCCATCTCTATAGGACATTACGGTTCCTTTGGACAGGTAATTGCATTGTTTGTTCTTTTAAAATCAGTTGTATGTGACCTTATTAACTCCAGTGTTAATTTGGTCTTTTTCCTTTTCTATAAATAAATTATGTTCAGATTCCTAATTGTCACTTGTCAAAATAATCTGCTAAGAATTGTTCATTTTGCCAAATTGTTGTGTGGTTGCTGTGTCAGAGTTCAGATATATCAGAAACAGCTAAAAGAAAAAGTACATACATACTATGTATTAAGGTTCAGAACAATTTTATTCTCACTGGAAAACATAGTGAGGTGATAGGGTAACTTGTACAATGCACATGATGCTATTAAATGTGCAGATGTACTGCAAACATTACAGGGAAGTCTGCACAACGTGACATAAATATTTCACTTAAGATTCTAAAATGTACAAAACATAAATAACTTTCATTATTTCAATACAAAAAATATGAAATTTCTTTCCTTATCACTTACATAAATATATCTATACAGTGAAGTGGTGTCAGAATTTCAATCATAACACATGGAATAAAAAGGGCTATATCATAAACAATATCTACACTCCACTTGAAAACAGTTATGGTCCTAATACAAATTGGTTGAGCATTCTTATGTTAATAAATATGGAAGCACTTTTCTTTTATCTCAGACCCACAAGTTTTTAAGTACTGAATAAACACCCTAACAAGTACAGTTTCCTGTGCCCAACACAAGACCCCACAACAAAATCACCGGCCAAATTCTCAAAATAGAAAAAAGGCAGCCACTTTCATATTATTGAAGAGAAATGACAGACGTATACCCTGACAAAAAGCTGAAAACTCCTATGAAATAACATGAACCCCACAGGGTTCATTTAATGTATGGGGCTCTAGAGTTCCAGGGACCTACATAAATTTTGAGCTGCTGACAAATGTTTGTGCAAGGACCTGGGAGAAAAAAATGGTCCATCGTAACACATCAATGAGCACAGAGCAAACAACATGAACAATAAACAAGCTATTCTTTATGAAAACATGTGCACAGAGTGGGTTAAACTTCTACAGGAATTACTGCAGTTCCAGAATTCATCAAACAAAATTTTGAAAACAGTTGATCACAGCATTACAATTAAAATTGACTTATTCAAAAAAATACAAATAGTGCAGTTTTGTACAGGCTTATCTCTTTTCGTCACTGGAAAAAGTTATGAGATGAAAATTAGTTGAGTTATTGAGTATTACCTTCATACATACTTTCACACTTCTCAAGTAACCTAAGTACAGGGCCAATGTTGTATGGAAACAAATCCTTGGAAACAAGACGGTCTATAGCAAGCCTTAATCGAATAAGCACGGTCATAACATTATCCAACTCACCAGCACACTCTTGCATGAATTCTTCCCAATTCCTACGAACAAATTTTAAGGTCCGAAGTAAGTACAAAAGGAAGCATGTTTCATTTGAAACTAACAAGTCCAGAAGAACATCGGGTTCGTGAGACACAGCCCGAACAAACTGAATAAATGTAGCAGCTGGGCTTAAAACACGTCTCAAAGTTGTATCAGATTGCACAACAGAATCTCGATAGACAAGACCCACTGCAGTGTCTAGACAACAAACCTGCAAAATAAAATGCAACCAGTTGTAAATTATGTAAACAAAATCTTTGCATTCCTAATTTAAAAGTAAAAATAAATGAAATACAAACCATGCTTTCCACCAATGCATCATCTTGATCAGCAAATAGTTGAACCACCCACTGGGCAACAGGAGTTTCAGGATGAAAAGGAACCAGGGCCTTTACACATTGATCTAGCTTACGAAGAACTTCTCTAATGCTGCGTTCAATAAGAGCCATGTCTGCATCAGCTTCGTCGGCATCAGAACTTAAGGAGCTGTCACTTGAATCACATCGAGTTTCTTTCACTGTCACAGCAACAGCTTTCAAGACAAGGAGCACCATTTTCTTGAGTAAGGGTCTGTCTCCATCCCCTACCCCTCCACCAAACCGGCCTGATCCTCCTCTGTAGGGCAACCCGTCCAGCAGGCGCGAATCTTTCACCCCTCGCACCACAAGATGAGCAAGCGCACAAGGCTCTTCTGCCAACACATCTTGCAATGCGAGGGTGCTCCCATAACACAGGACCTCGTTGAGAAGATTTAATATTGATTTCCATACAACTGGAGGAACACTTGGAGCTAGCAGCATTACAACATTATCTAAGTGTGCATAAAATGGCTTGGTATCAGCAACTGACAAATTTGCTTTAACAGATATTAAGGCTTCCCACAGTTCTAGAAAAGTAACAACTGTAGCTTCATGTTCAGATGCATAGGAAGAGACAAGAGAATCAAATTTTGTTACAAGAGCCGGCCATTTTGCCTCTAAAACCTTTACACACAAGCTCTTTACTTGACTACAATCAGCCTCAGGGTCCGTCATTAAAATATTACATGAGGACGGAGGCTTATCTTCTGGACCACCTCTTTCTTCAAGTACATGTCCGTCACATTCTTTGTACTCTACAATTCTTCTTATAACATCTAACGAAAAACACATTTGACGAGGTTGAGATGTAGACAATGCATTGTCAGCCAAATTTTGCAACCAAAATGGATCTACATTTGTTTTAGAAACTAAAAGGAATGCTGAAAGAGCCCGACTTGCAGCAAAGCAAACAAAGCGATCTGAATGTGAGGAGAGCTCAACAAGCCTATCAATTAAACCATGCTCATTTCTGGTAAGAGCATCACAGACATCTCCTATCCTAGAACACACAAAGCCTCTAGTTGTTTGCTTCATGGCAACTTCACAGAGAAGTTGGATTGAGCCAACAAACTGTAAAATCCGGTCACGTGTCCAAGATGTATCAGAAGGTTTGTCCCTAAATGGGCGCCTCAAACTACTTTCTGACATACAACACAAACATTGATTCAGGAGATTCTGTTGGAACTCCATAAGGTCATGAGCAGCAGCATCTTCTTCCTCCGCTTCATCATTGCCAGCTACTCTCAGTCGTTTTTTAACTGGTTCAGCCATACTTAAAAGCGGAGACACCGCCTTTCCCTTTCCAAGAACCATCCCATCAGAACACTGACAGAATGCGAATGAGTCCTTTTGTCATTTCCATGGGAATTTTGGTTGATTGACGGGCTCCAGGATAGCGCTGGTAACATTTTGATGGAGCCATCTGTGGTGTGAATTGAACATCTCAGATGCAAAGTTCTGCATGTCAAATTCTCGATGCATCCATTCAAAGAAAGCCAGTCCTGAAAGAGAAAATACAAAAGAATATTATCAACATAATATGCCAAATGGATTGCAGCAATATGAATAGGTTAGGTTACTGTTGAGGACCACTTCAACTATATGTAACACATCAACTAATTTAAATGACCCAACCAGATTCCAAATAAGGAAAAATATTGTATGACAGAAACTGATAAATGTAAAGGCAACGCATTTGGGGTGTTTAAGCAAAACACTATTGTACTGAAGAAAATAACACCTGAGATCGGTGTTGTCTTGACCACAAACATTTACAAGTTCAAAGAACAGCAATATATATCAGAGAAGGGCAAGAATAGGCTTATCAATAATTTGAAAATGAGGTAGTATGTCTAATATAAACAACATCGTAAGAGGATATACTTTAATTTGTAGATAATTACAGTTCATAGTTAATAGGTGGACACATAGCCTTAAATATTCATATGCCCATGCATACATGTATCAAGAAAATGCTACCTGTGCAACTGCTTCTGTGGCAGATATTCTTCCTTGGGCAAAGACTTGCAATTTACCACTGGCTAGTAGTTATCTTGAAATTTCAATCGTCCATCTTGAGACACAAGACTACTATTCCTCTAGAGTGAGATAACCGTAGTGCACTGGATGTTTTCACTAACCACTTGAAATGCACGAGAACCAAACCTAGAAAGATTTGATCGCGTACTAAATCTTAGAGGAAATTACTAGAGTTGAAGGCATTTTCTTTACACGAGCAGACAGAGTTAAGGCCTTAACTCGAGTGTATACACACAGAAATTGTTATGCTTCGGACGGAACGTTTTCAACGCCTAAAACTTCAGTGTTGCCAGATTGCCGCCTAGGTACCAACCCGTCCCGTTGGTCTCGGGTATCTCCGTCTCCCACCCTTCCCGCTTACTTTGCAGGACTTGCAGGCAGTTGCAGGGCCCGCGACAGCATTAGCTTCACTGGAGAAGATTTTAGTTATCCTATTCATCAGAAACGGGAAGTAAAAGTAGTGTCACCGGCGGCGAAAGCAATTTCAGGCAGCGAGCAGGCCCAACTAGTCTCCTTTCTCTCTCACTCTAGAGTCCTCATCGCATCTGTCTCTCTCCGACCGGCACGACGCCATAACCCCCCCCCCCCCCTAGCTGATTCTGCTGTCGGGATCCCACGGAGTTCTTACGAGTTTCATTTTGAAATACGATCAGCTCGTGAATGAATTACGAATCGGAGGACAGAGATATGACCGTACAAAATGAACGTAGGCCTACGCTATGTCGCGAAAACATAGCACCGAGACACCGGAGACCCACCCCCCTGAAGAAGACTGCATGGAAGTTACGAAAAGTGAACTTCCGCCGCAGCATTTTGCGCTAGGGAAAAATAAAAAGAGAATTCTGTGAACTGGGCCTCTGCTTTTTCCGATTCTGCCCTCGAATCTTGCGTGAACACGTCTTATGAATGAAATGTGTCTGTCTTTCCCTTCAATCTGGCAACAGTGTGTGCGTACTGGGTGCGTACTACTATGCAGCTACTGCTGCAGCAACAACAGCTACAACAGTGGAAACAGTGGGATGCCAGATAGGTGTGGCAGCCATATTGTGAAGTGATTCAGGGGTCAGATTATCGGCAAACGTTTGCGGTGATGGGAACGAGAGTAAACAAGATAAAATCTAATTGAAAAACAAACATATCTCGGTACGGACTAATGTCACTCCTCAATGAAACAGGAAACATAAATACTACCTGCTTAAGGGGAATGTAATTGGGAGCGATAGCAGTAGTTCACTAAGGTTAAATTTTCTTGTTTAACTTCAAAAATTTTCGTTTCTTTTGCATTACTTTTCTCGATTGTAGCCTATTGAACGCGATTTGTGTTCCCTCTTGTTGCACTTGATGATATTTATTTCCTCGAGTTTTTTCAACACTTCACCGCTTGATAGATTTTGGGTCAATTTCGTGATTTAGGTACCATTGACCTTTTAACTGCTGCTCCTATGTAAAGGTCTTCTTTAACCTTTTTTGTGGTGTTATTGACCCCTTTATTGAGATTTCATCTCCCCGGCCTTTTAAATGTGAACTGAATAGAGGTGGAGACCCTAGTCAGCATTTATGCTCCAGTTTAGTGGTACCATTTCTTGATAAAGAAATTGTGTATGGGATGATAATTTCTTCCAGTTCCCAGTTTTTCTAGTTTTTATTCATTGTTTTCATTTCCTAGTACTGTGCCCCTATTTATTTTAATTTTCAAGGGTCTTGTGTCAAGTTAGTTTCTACCCAAAACTTGTCCCTTTTGCAGCAATGACTCCTGGGATCAGGACAAACAGCATTCATGATAGCAAGTGGTGAGATAATTGGAATGCGGTAGTGCCTTAGCACCGTCCCCATGTCGGAGACGGCCAATAAACTTTCTGCTCTCCAGGACTCTGGTGGAGATGGCACCACAGGTCAGTGTACACCTCGTCATTGCTTGTTCCACTTCTATAAGTTTCTTGGTGGTGGCAGCGTCATCCATTTTTCCTTCATCCTCAGGAGAGCGTCGCTTGCGCCAGTTGGAGTCCCTTTTCCTTGGAGGACCTATCCAAGGACAAGGGCAGTGTTTTAGTATTGAAACATTGCTTGATATCCTTCTGGTGTTATATGATGAGTGCTGTAATTCTTCTTTACGGCGTGAGAAAACAGTTTCTGAGTTTATTGAATTTGGTAAGTGTTGTTTTTGTTTTTAGTGGCATCCAATGTTAAAATTTCCCTCCAATTTCTTAGTTTTTAAAACCAAGTGGTGACTGATTTGCATTCTCTGATCGTTTTAGTTAAGCCAATTGCAAGCAACATTAAATCTTTGCGGCTTTCAAGAGAAGACTTTGAAATTGTGAAAGTAATTGGACGAGGAGCGTTTGGGGAAGTATGTGTAGTCAAAATGAAGGGTAGTGATAAAGTTTATGCAATGAAAATACTCAACAAATGGGAAATGTTGAAGAGAGCCGAAACAGCATGCTTTCAAGAAGAGCGTGATGTCTTGGTTTTTGGTGACCGCCGGTGGATTACCAATTTGCATTTTGCTTTTCAAGATGAAAATAATTTGGTAGGATATTGTCTAGATTTGTGTCTTGCAGTAACATGTGCGTATAAATATAAACTAAATATCAATTAACATTTTTCAGTATTTGGTCATGGATTATTATTGTGGAGGTGATTTATTAACATTACTGAGCAAATTTGAAGACCGTCTTCCAGAAGACATGGCTCGATTCTACATTGCAGAAATGATTTTGGCTATTGGGTCTATTCATGACCTGCGCTATGTTCATCGTGATATCAAACCCGACAACGTTCTGTTGTGTGCTAATGGTCACATTCGTTTAGCTGACTTTGGTTCGTGTCTCAAACTGTCACCGGATGGTACAGTTCAAAGTAATGTAGCTGTGGGGACTCCTGATTACATTTCTCCAGAAATATTAAGAGTAGGTCTAATTTTTATTAAATTTCTTTTACTTGTTGACATGTCCCTCTATTTTCACTGTCATTGTTATTTTAAGGCTATGGAAGATGGCCAGGGGAGGTACGGGCCAGAGTGTGATTGGTGGTCTCTGGGTGTTTGTATGTATGAAATGCTCTATGGTGAGACTCCATTTTATGCAGAGTCGCTTGTTGAAACTTATGGAAAGATTATGAACCACAAGGTGACACACTTTTTATTCCTTTTTTGTTTCTGTTACATAATTTGTTTTTGAATCCTAGAAGGTAGTAAAACGCATCTGTTCATTTTATTTTAGAACTGTTTTGACTTTCCTTGTGATGTTGGGTATGAAGTATCGGCTGAAGCCAAAGATCTAATGAAGAGACTGATATGTAGCTCAGAGCTAAGATTGGGGCAGAATGGAATTGATGATTTTAAAGTAAGCATTCTAGTTCAAAGTTTTTTAACCATCAAAATTTTGTAGGTTTTGTTGTGAGATATTATTTATTTCTCTCCTGTTCTAATTTTTCCTTTCTTTCTTCCTTTAAAAAAATAAAATCTAGAACCATGCTTGGTTTGTGGGGGTTGATTGGTCAAATCTCAGAGATACAACTGCTCCTTACATACCTGAAGTCAGTAGTCCAACTGACACCTCGAACTTTGATGTAGATGAAGCTGATACTCGTACCTCAGATGCTGTACCACCTACAGCAGCAAACCCTGCATTTTCTGCCCTGCATTTGCCCTTTGTTGGGTTCACATTCACCTCAGGGAGGTATGTATAGTCTGGCACTGCAAGACAAAAATGGAAGACCAATGATAAATTATTTTAATTTTGTTGTTGTTTTTAGTTGTATTTCAGACCTGGGTAGTGTGCCCAGCAACACAACTGTGATAACACGCCGTATCAAACAATTAGAAGAGGAAAACCAAACTTTAAAAAGAAATCTCCTAGGTATGTTTGTTTTGCCATTTCTACTATTGATAGGTTCTATTGTGTTATTTGGAATTAATAATGAGTCTCTTTTCAGATGCAAAAGAAAATAATCTTGTTCATTACCCCAATGATTTTGCCTCAAATGAGGAAACCAAGAGATTATCTCCTACCACTGAAACTGCAAATGGTACTCGACGTCTTCAAGATGAAATAAATACCCTCACAAAACGGAATTGCGGTAGTTATATTTATGCTCTACTATCACTTGTGGCATTATATTTTTCAAAGTTGTGTATAGTATCTAAAGTTTTCTTATCTTCCTTAACAGAACTAGAAAATCAATTAAAAGTCCTTGAGCAGCTTCAAAATCAAGCACCGGACCTTAAAATCCTCTCACTAGAAGGGGAATCTAGTACTCGAATAAGGGAATTGGAGAAAATGGTTCGCATGCTGCAACAAGACAGGGATGAGGCTCTTAAGGTACTGCCATCATTTTGTGTATTTAGTGACTTCTACTACTCGATATATTTAAATATTCTGTCTCTAATATTATTTATTTTAAATTTCTTTCATTGTAGGATAAAGCTGATGTGCATGAAAAAATTAAGATACAAGATAAAGAGTTAAAGGAAGCTCTCACTCAACGGAAATTAGCCATGGATGAATACACAGAGGTTTCAGACAAGTAAGTTGTTGTTTTCAGGTTATTACCCAAGCAAATATCTCAAAAATAATGAACTGTAATTTAAACACTAAAAAGCCAAATTAGGGAAAATAAAATCATTGTGGGCAATGGAGATCTCAAATTACCAGTAGCAAACACACTGCTTTGTGTCAGATTAGGAGATCATTATTCTGCGCTCCAAAGGAAGTCAGTTGACTCTGAAAACCTTGACTCCTACAACATGG